TGTTGCCTGAAGTAAGATTACAGGAAGTAAAAGAATATAAATATAGGTACTGTGAAAAATATGAGGTCCTGAAATCTAAGCAATAAGGAAAAAAGTAGAAAAACGGGGAAATTTAGAAATATTAATAGAATCGTATTTGATTAATACCATATGGAGATATGGTGTCGGAAAGCTGAATAAATGTGTTTTTCATTGTAAACCTATCTGGTGTGTCGGTACATGAAATCAGTGCTGTAATTGATACATCTAATGCACCTTTATTTTCCTCTCTGTTGAAATGTGAAGAGACTGGGGAAAGCTTACCTTGTTCAATATACCGGAGATGTTCAGTGAACCTATTTGCTAATCTTCTCCCAGTTTCACCTATGTAACTATATTGGCTTCTACGGCACACATTTCAACAGAGAGGAACATAAAGGTGCATTAGGTAAATTTATTTACGGACTATATGTAAATGTATAGAGAACGAGAGGAAAGAGAGAAGAAGAGTGAAAGGTCAATAAAGGGAGAGAGGGGGTATAAAGAGAAAGAAAAAGAGACAGAAAAAAATAAATAGAGAGAGAGAGAGAGAGAGAGAGAGAGAGAGCGAGAGAGGGCGGGTCAAGAAGATAGAGAGAACGGCAAAGAGAAAGAAGGAGAGAGAAGAGGATAGTGGGTGGAGAGAGCGATGATCACATTTCGATCATAGCTTAATGGGGTGACAAAATTTTGGCGATTTAGATATGTATCTTTTGTAAAGACTGCATCCCTACTCGCATTTCCATCGTGTTTGTCGTAATGTGTTTATTTACAAACGTCTCGTGGTCAGTTGTAAGGTCGCATATGAGTTGCTACAATATCGCGTCTGCTTCGTTTAGTAAACGGCGGGAGAAACATGGGCTGGGAGTAAGAGAGATCTAATAAGATCTGTAGGATTTGGGGGATTCAAAAAAAAAAAAACCAAAAAAAAGGTAAATGATACTTCTTTTGTAGATACAAATTAAAATTGTAACACTTAACAGTAAATGATAAAATAATACAAAGAACTTTCTATCATAGACGAGTTAAAACGCATTACAACGTAAACAATTAGTTCTTAAAATACTACTGATAAAAGAAGTATCTGCAGATATGAGTTGCTACAATATCGCGTTTGCTTCGTTTAGTAAACGGCGGGAGAAACATGGGCTGGGAGTAAGAGAGATCTAATAAGATCTGTAGGATTTGGGGGATTCAAAAAAAAAAAAACCAAAAAAAAAGGTAAATGATACTTCTTTTGTAGATACAAATTAAAATTGTAACACTTAAAAGTAAATGATAAAATAATACAAAGAACTTTCTATCATAGACGAGTTAAAACGCATTACAACGTAAACAATTAGTTCTTAAAATACTACTGATAAAAGAAGTATCTGCAGAAAATATTTTCAAAAATTAATAATAAATAAAACATATTGAGTTTTGTCTAACATTCAGTTCGAATCCTCAGGCTACATAGATTGCTAATCTACATTCTGCACAGCCTAGTGTATTTTAAGAAATTGTAAATTATTTACTACCATTTAAGTGCTCTTCATTTGTAACGTTTTTGAAGCTATCTTTTATGTAACATGACAAGTTCGAAATATTTAGAAATATTAATAGGATCGTATTTGATTAATACCATATGGAGATATGGTGTCGGAAAGCTGAATAAATGTGTTTTTCATTGTAACCCTATCTGGTGTGTTGGTACATGAAATCAGTGCCGTAATGGATACATCTAATGCCCCTTTATTTTCATCATTTATTTTCACATCTATTTTTCCGGTTCAGCTCCTTGATCTTAACCAGATAAAAACTCTAACGATAATGCTATGACAGATGAAAACTCTAACGATAATGCTATGACAGATGAAAACTCTAACGATAATGCTATGATAGATGAAAACTCTAACGATAATGCTATGACAGATGAAAACTCTAACGATAATGTTATGAAAGATGAAAACAGTGAACGCCGTTGTCTTGTTCCAGACTGCCTGTACCTTGGATGATGTACAGCGCTGTCAACGGGGGCGCCGCCTACGTCGTGAGCAGTACTGGCCTGCTCTGCTCCATCCTGCTCCTGTTCTTTATGCTGCTGGCGGTCATTGCGTGCATCGTTCTGTCCGGTTGGAAGATGAGCAAGATGTTGGGCTTTTCTATGCTGGCACTCTATGCCATTTTTATCACTATAGCAGTTCTGTTAGAGTATAAAATAGTGAAGTGCCCGAAAGTTTAGGTCAAAATAAACCAATTAATCTATTAAAATATGTGTTGACTCGGTATGAGCCGGGGGTGGTGAGGAGTGATTCAAGTACATGTCCCATTGAACACTTAAAGGATGTGAAACGGTTGTTTTTTTTTTGGTGTTTTTTTTATACGGATCTTAAGTATTTTTTTTTAAATAAGCCCCGACATCGCTCCATCGTGTTGTGTGTTACTACAAGTGACTCCATCGTGTTGTGTGTTACTACAAGTGACTCCATCGTGTTGTGTGTTACTACAAGTGACCCCATCGTGTTGTGTGTTACTACAAGTGACTCCATCGTGTTGTGTGTTACTACAAGTGACTCCATCGTGTTGTGTGTTACTACAAGTGACTCCATCGTGTTGTGTGTTACTACAAGTGACTCCATCGTGTTGTGTGTTACTACAAGTGACTCCATCGTGTTGTGTGTTACTACAAGTGAGACATCAAAATGTTACGTATGAAAGGTTGAATAGTTTATTGGTGCTTGAACCACAGGCGTGAGACTAGAATCATGGGTTTAGCGAACATTTTCATTTGGGCATCAATCATACGTCAAAGTTCAAGGCCAAACTTACAGATGAGCATCTTCAAGCTATACCGAGGGTCTCAGTTGCTTCCTCACTCAAACCATAAGTTGCTCAGCTGTGTAAGAAGAAGCGCTGTCAGGTCTCTGGCAACATGAAGTAGGAGGAAATAAGTGAAGCCTAGTTCTTGAGAACCCTTAATGTTTTTATTTGTCATTAATAAAGGTTGAGCAGATTGTAACAAAGTACATTGAATTTGTAATCGCTGTTTGTGTGGAATACTTGATGCGGCCCAGTCTCACTCAGCCACTACCTCCAGCAGCCCCCGGATGATTTGAGACCCCTGATTTACAACTCTCTGCATTTTGTTGCCCAGTTGTCTCGGACTGCTCACTTAACAGCCGGCTGACATAGATGATCGCCCCCCCCCGGGCCCCTTTTGTGGCATATTTTGTATGTGACCCCCAGATCCTTATTTGGTCTTACTACTGTATATGGCTCCCCACAGTCCCCTTTATGTGGCCTTTTGAATGCGGCGCCCCCTTTTTATGGCCATACTGTTGTGTGTGGCGCTCCCAGGTCCCTTCTTTTAAACTTACTTCTGTATGTGACCCCAGATCCTTTCTGGCCTTACTACAGTATATGGCGCCCCACAGCCCTCTTTGTGGCCTTTTGTATGCAGCCTCTTTTTATGGTCATAATGTTGTATATGGCGCCCCCCCCCCCCC